TCAAGGCACTTCCTGATACCACTCTATAATAAAGCCTGAGTAAGACCACACCTAGAATTCTGCATCCAGTTTTGGTCACCACACTATAAAAAAAGATGTGGAGACTCTAGAAAGAGTGCAGAGAAGAGCAACCAGGATGATGAGGGGACTGGAGGCTAAAACATATGACGAACGGTTGCAGGAACTGGGCCTGGCTAGTCTAGGGAAGAGAAGGACCAGGAGAGACACGATAGAAGTCTTCCAATATTTGAGGGGCTGCAACAGAGAGGAGGAAGGGGATCAAGCTATTCTCCAAAGCACCTGAAGGCCAGACAAGGAATAATGGATGGAAACTGTTCAAGGGGTGATTCAACCTGGAAATAAGGAGAAATTCCCTGACAGTGAGAACAATCAACCCATGGAAGAGAAGTTGCCTTCGGAAGTTGTGGGAGCTTCATCACTGGAGGCTTTCAAGAAGAGACTGGACTTCCCTCTATCAGAAATGGTGGAGGGTCTCCTGCTTGGGTGGGGGGTTGGACTAGATGACCTACAAGGTCCCTTCCAACTCTGCTAATCTGTTAAGAATATGAAGGACAGTTGCAGGAACTGGGCCTGGCTAGTCTAGTGAAGAGAAGGACCAAGGGAGATATGATAGCATCTTCCAGTATTTGAGGGGCTGCCACAAGGAAGAGGGAGTCAAGCTATTTTCCAAGGCATCTGAGGGCAGGACAAGAAACAACGGATGGACACTAATCAAAGAGAGAAGCAACCTGAAACTAAGGACAAACTTCCTAACAATGAGAACAAATTCACCAGCAGAACAGCTTGCCACTAGAAGTGGTGGGTGCTTTATCACTGCAAGTTTTTAAGAAAAGACTGGTCAGCCATTTGTCTGAGACGGTATATGGTCTCCTGCTTGAGCAGGGGGCTGGACTAGAAGACCTCCAAGGTCCCTTCCAACTGTATTCTGATTAGCTGAGAAGTCCCAGCTGAACCGCTGGCCTCACCATTATGCCTGGCTTTGTTCACACAAAACCCTTGACCTGCTTTTAATCTGCTCCCTCCCTTCCCTCTCCATGTTCAGGAGATGAAGCTACTGGTGACTTACCAACAGGTGTCAGGGAAAGGAAATTTTGCATGGACAGCTATAATGACATCTGTTTATAATGGACAAATATCTACAAGCATGAGAATCCCTCATTTATCTATTATCTTTCCTACCATTCTGTTTTCTTTTCCTGTTTTTTTTCCTGCTCCTCTCCTTTCTCTTTTGTTCTGCTTCATGAAATAAAGGCAGAAAACTTTCTGTGAGTTGCCTGATTGTCTCCAGCCAGACCGTCCACGTGGAACCATCACAGGTCAGCAGAGTCTCTGTGTCCATCCCAGAATTAACTCTGGAGTAAGGGACTGAGTAAGGGACTGAGTAAGGGACTGAGTGGCCTGGAGAGAGGCTCCCCCTGCACATTCTCTCCGGAGAGCCACATTGGGGAATGATGCGCTTCCTCTCGGCCCCTCTTCCTCTGGCATGAGGGGGGGACACACGGGTCAAGGTGGGGAGAGAAACCCTCAAAGGGGCAGAAGAAGACACCTGAGACCAAGATTGCAGCTGGTATCAAAGCTTTATTGCAGAACCGAAGGAATGAGCCCAGGGTGGGGTTTGGGGGG